CGTGGGGGGGGGGGGGGGGGGCCTATAGCCGTGTAAGGGGCCCCAAAATTTCTGATGGCTGGCAACATGACCTAGGTTGTATAGGCTTTAGGTTTCAAGAGGAACTTGGGAACAGTGGTATTTTAATCACAGCAAGTAAGGGGTACATTATACTCCAAATAACAATGTGATTTGGTCATGCTGACCAAGTGATTTATGTGAAGTGTGAATTTTAATAAAAGACCCAAAAGGTGAAAGGAGAGTGCCTAAATAATAACTATTCCAAAAACTGTGAAGGTATCAAGCTTATTTAAATGCAGATCTCAGTAATGACAATTTAGCATCTTTTCTTCTGTGATTTGCAGGCTGGGAAGATTATTCTTATATATCATAAGTTCCCTTTCAAGATATTAAAGCGATTTCTGATCTGGAGCATCTTGTTGGTGAGTTTCTGGAAGTCTTTATATCTTTGTCATGTCAGGTTGTTAATTCTATAGTCAAAAGTCATCATATTGATACAAATTAAAACATCCATAATTGTGTCCAGGGCTGGATTAGGAGTCCAGGATGCCTGGATCTAAGAATTTAAGGAACCTACAAGGAGAATAAAAGGGGGCAAGGGAGCAGAAAAGCTCAGACCTAGATGCTTGTTCCATGGAAGTATTTAATTTAATATGCATAGGACAACCCTGAAACAATGTCCTGATAGGTTTCCTTTAAAATGAAAATATAGTATATTCCAGTCAGTTTAAATATATCATAAAACAAGGCATGTCAGCATTTCACAGATGTAGACTGGAGCTATACTCAAATGTTAAAAGTGTGGGGTGTGTTTGTTCTCACATCCCAATCCTTAGAGAAGGCACCTCCAGGTAGATTATTTTTGTTTTATTCTAGAATCCCCCAAATGTGTGTCCTAGTCAGGGGGAAATCTTTGTTCTTTCTTTCCCCAAAGACACAGCAGGAAGTAAGTGGTTATCTCCCCAAAATGAGAGGTAATCCCCTCTCTGATAGTTGTCACCAGAACAAGTGTCTCCACTGGAAGATATTCCCTTTACTTTAGCAGTAATGAGTAAGGCCGGCCTTATACATTCTCAAACAAATTATTATGTGCCTGAATACATTTTTCGTATACTGTATTCGGACAAATAGCAATTCATTAATTTACACGTAGTCTTGGTTTTGTGTTCTGCTTTTTATTTTTACTTTTCTAGATATACTTAGTTGAAGAAAGGGATCGGCATGAACACCTGTCACTTTATTTTTACAGACTCTATTTTAGTTTGACATTTATTGTTTGCCTTCTGTTGTTTTATTTATTAAGAATACTTATATTGTGCCTACAAGTTTAATACATTTGAATAAAAGTTTTATTTTTATCATACTTTTTAATATGTTTCTTTGCGGCTTAACAAAATAGGAGTCTTTAAATGGTGCGGATATTGGGGGGAAATTGGTGTGGTTACAGGGGGTGTGGCCACTGAGGGGTGTGGTCAATGAGGGGCGCTGTAAAGCTTTCTTGCACAGGACAGTAAAAGTGAGGAGTACTGGATCTCATAATAATTATAGGATCCTAATTAAGTGGGTGGTTGTTATGTGAATATTTCCTAAGGCTGCTTTTTAACATACAGGAACCCTGGTATGGGTTAAAGAAATGATGTAAAAGAAGAACAAAAAGGAGAGTGCCAGCTTGAGAGATTTTGTCCAAATCAGATTTTTTTTGTTGTTGGTTGCATTCAGTATAAAAGGCCAATGCATTTCAGTGGCCCCAAAAAGGCTCCCTTCATCAGAGCCAGTGGCGACTCTAGGAACAATATATAGGGATGCACCGATACCGTTATTTTGGTACCGAGTACGAGTACCGATAATTTTTCTTCGGTACTCACCGATACCAATTACCGAGTAACGGAAGTCCCATTCAGGAAGCCAGGTGGCGTGTAATGACTCGCCACCTGGCTTCCTGATTAGCAAGAAAGTCCCCTCTTACCTTAGTATGTGCAGCCTGTCACCCCTGGGGCCTCTCCAGCGAGAACGCAGCCTTCGTCCGGTACCCAGGCGGTGCCGCCTGGCCGGCCAATCAGTAAGCCGGGTGCAGTGTAATGACGCGATGCCCTGCTTTCTGATTGGCCGGGAGGCTGGCTCCATGCTCTCTCATCATGAGATGACGAGGGAGCATGAAGCCAGCTTCCCGGCCAATCAGAAGGCAGGGCGTTGCGTCATTACACGCTGCCCGGCTTCCTGATTGGCCGGGAAGTCGGCTCCATGCTCTCTCATCACAAGTGACGAGAGAGCATGGAGCCGCTTCCTGGTCAATCAGGAAACCGGGCAGTGTGTAATGGCAGGCTGCCCGGCTTCCTGATACCGGAAGTACTCATGCTAGGCATCGGAGCATTTGGGCGAGTACGAGTACTCGCCCAAATACTCGGAATCGGCACAGATATCGATACTAGTATCGGTATCGGTGCATCCTTAATTGTTGCGACCCTGGTAGTTCTGGTACTGACTCCTGTCAACTGTATAGGGACTACAAATCTCAGCTATACATTATACAGCAATGCAGAATAATACCACCAGCTATAGAGGACTACAAATCTCAACAATATATTATACAGTAATGCAGAATACCAGCAGCTATAGAGCACAAGAGATCTCAGCAATATAAAATAATACGGTCAGGGGTGCGTGGAATGCAGAGTGCGGCGGTCAAGGGTGCGTGGAACGCAGAGTGCGGCGGTCAGGGGTGCGTGCAACGCAGGGTGTGGCGGTCAGGGGTGCATGCAGCGCAATTTGCCTCCTTCCTAATTTCCTGATTTGACACTAAGTGGATGATTTATAAATTATCCACCTTGCCATGTCCTGGCTGAATGGCATTCAAATGGCCTTCTTGCCAATACATGCATCTGAGGAGCCTAGGAATTTTCTATGCTCCTCATCGCTATCTAGTGGTGAGAATGCCGTATAAAATATATCTAATTTTATTAGAGTGAAAAACGAATTCTTTTTTAGTAAATAACTGTTGATGTTGAATAACTTCCGAAATATATGCTTAGAAATGTGCTGTTTGTAGAGTCCTTTAACTAATATTCAATTAGAACTTTGAAAGGAATTGAGATACTGATAGTTACCAAAACGTGGGTTCCCACTGTACCTAACCATACCTAACCATTTATACTGTATCTGTTATAGTTCAATGGAAAATTGTTCATAATCTTTTAAATATATTTATTATCGGTCCTTCATAAGTCAAATTATTTTTCTACTGTTTACACCATCCGTATGTGCTTTCCTTTGTTCGTACCATGATGCCCTATTGTACGACTTCCTTATGTAAAACCAATTACATTTTTTAATTAGAGCTTTGGCATTATGTAGAGCAGCCTGCTACATACACTGTCTATTAAAAATGGTTTATCCATGTTCATTAAATGCTGACTTGTTTTTAAAAATGTAAGCTCTGGGGATATAATCTTCATTCTCCTATTGCTAGATAGAGAGCAACTGAACCAGAGGAACTTTGTTTCTAGTGGAGCCAAAATTCAAAATTCAAGACGTTCATACTTGTTCCCAGTAAGATGAGGATGAATGTTTAAATGACTAAATCTGGGATAGTGGATCTGTAATGTGCAGGATGGAAATTATAGTCCTAGAACTCCACCTTCAATAAGAAATTAACTATAGCAGCCATAATATTTCCATTATAACATGTTCACTTTGAGGCTGAATTCACATATTTTGCTGTCTTTGGATGCTTTCATGTCCCTATGACATCCCAGAGAGCAAGCAATTGAGCTGCAAGTTATAAAATGACTTGCTAAACTATTGCTAGACTTGCCAATCTTCACAATTTTGTTGCACACTTACAGCAAGTCTGCATTGCAAGTCTCCAGATCAAAGTGCTTTGCAAAAGTGCTGTACACTTGCAGAGCTCTAGCTATGACCTGCAGGACTCTTGCTGTAGACTTGCCAAGCAAATTTGCAACAAATTCAAAAAGTGTCAACTAGAATTTGTGCTGCGAGTGTTCTGCAAGTCTACAACTTGCCAGGAATGTGTGCGGCAAGTTAACAAAAATTACAATTGAACCCTGCCACAAGTTTGTGGCAAGTTATCCTTGCTATCTGGTATTGTGACAGATGGTAACAACACAACATAGGTACCTGTGTTTGCGATCACTACTGCCCCAATAGACTCTTAGGGGGCTGTCTTTTACCCTGATTTGGGAAGGCTTGAGTTGTTAATGAGTTCTCAAAGCCTTTGCTTTCTTGTTTGGTTTAAACGAAAATGTATTGATAGTGACAATCCGAATACTGCATTTAATTCTGCTTTATGCCTTACTATTGTCTCCAAAATGAGGATCAGCTGGATACTCAGCCCTTTCTCCTTGTGTTGTCGATTATTACTACACTTGGCTTTTATCCAAAACTTCATTTCCATCCTGGGGGGGTACAAAGTCGTAGTCTCCACCAACAGATCTCTGCACTAATATTCCAGTAGTAAGGTCCTGGTATGTGTTTTCACATACTAGATTACACACAGTGTGGAATTTCCAAGTGTGTAAAATCAAACAATCATTTCCTTAAATGTCTTGTAGCACCCTTTTAGATATTTATGGGAAATTATAAGAAAAGTATAAGTATAAAGTCATAGATTAAAAGTGAGGCAGTGTCATTAGTTTTGCGCAACTCTTTTGCGGGGTGTGACTGGGGAGTACATCTTTCTATATAGTGTACCAGGCTTAAAAAAAATCACATTTCCAAAATGCATTGTTGCTTCAGGTCTTTGAAAACTCAGCGCAAGCATGTATTAGAATACTTCCCCCTAGAAGTCTTCAGTGAGCCAAGCATGAGGGCAGACAAGGGTTATAGGTGATCTCACCAAGAAAATACTTGGCACAAGACTTAATTATAGGTCACTGGATTGAGAACACCAACATTTACCTATGGCATAGAACATTTGTTTTGAGGGGCGGGGGAAGCAAATTCAGGTTAAACATTCTCTACCTCAGAAATTGCTACTCAAAGACCAGCAGAATATGCTGTAGCTGTAACACATATGATAGGTGGCTCTTTAGAATGGTGCCATGCATAACAGTCAAACCCAACCACATTTATTTTGAATGGTAGTTTATCTATTGTCCCTTTTAGACTGGCTCAGTATAGAAGAGCACTGCTTACAAAGCGTTAATACAGAGGAAGCATAAATAAAGCATCGGAGCACCATTTGCAACTACTGATGGATATCACTGATCTCCACTTACATGTCTTTTTGTAAATGCTTTTAAGTAAAGTGTCTTTTACTACGTTTCACTCACTTTCTAATTGGCCAAGTGAACCAATATTTCTAGTGTGTTTCTCTGTATTCCTGTTACACGAATATGTTTGTTTTGGTCTCATTGGTCTATGTTCAGATCTAAGATAGCAAAAGAGGTGCGGATCTCCTTACATA